CTGATAACTAGATAGCACAGTAAGAATAACAACGATATCAGGTATGATGTAGTAGACCCGAAGCTATCGCAATAACGAGTTACCTCCCATTGAACAATCACCGTGTGTACAGTTTTTCTTTGCCTCAATTAATCTCTTCCTGCAAGCATTCCATAGGTAAATTTTTTGCCACTTTTCGAATATACTTACTTCCCATTGAGAAAATATTTTGGTCAATCGCGTGTTCCTGTGCCTTTACAAGGTCTTTCATATGGGGAAAAGGGAAGTTTCTCGAATCCGCCAAACGCACCTCTTTCGTTTTCTACACTCTCGCGAACATGTCTTAAGGAAATACTATCTCAATCATCACAGAATTCTAGATCTAGAAAGTCCAATTTTTAAATATCAAGCGGAGTTCCTTTCATCCATTTTCAAGACCTAGCGTGTAGATAATGCATGTACGTTTCTATCTCATACATGACATCAGTTATAGCTATAATTGATAACTAGATAGCACAGTAAGAATAACAACGTCATCAGGTATCAATGTAGTAGACTCGAAGCTATCGCACTCACGAGTTATCTCCCGTTGAACAATCAGCGTGTGTATAGTATAGCTGTGCCTTAATTAATCTCTTCCTTCAAGCAGTGCCATAGGTAAAGTCTGCCACTTGTCGAGCATATTTACCTCCCACTGAGTAAATTTCTTGGTAGATCGCGTTTTCCTGTCCCTTGATAGGGGAAAGGGCAGTTTCTCTAGTCCACCAAACGCACCTCTTTCGTTTTCTACACTCTCGCGAACATGTCTTAAGGACATACTATCTCAATCATCACAGAATTCTAGATCTAGAAAGTCCAACTTTTAAAATATCAATGGGGTTCCTTTCATTCATTTCCAAGACCCAGTGGGTAGAAAATACATGCACCTACAAACAGTATCAATACATAGTTAAACAGGATGAACATTAGTATTGTGAATTAATTATCTGACTAACATCAACAATGAATTTTGCCAAAGATATCAATTCATGGTTACAAAATTGATGAAAGTAGCACATTTCAATGCATTATTCAGTGGAATAACTCACTAATTCCACGTACATTTAGAAAGCATATGTCTAGTCATTATTAGATAATTGTTTAACTATGTATTTATAGTAGGTACTTGTATAATCTACCCATAATTGTTTTATTGTCGTTGGGTAATATTTTCAATACCAAATCATTGTAATTGACTGTCACATGCCATTATCTATTCTAGTAAGTCAATTCAAACCTCAAAAGTCAAGCATTTCTTTAATATGTGCTGTTTGAGTATTTGTTTCGTTATCCGCAACCTCCTCAAGTTAGTATAGTCTCAAAGTCCTAACCATCGTCCATATCAGAAGTTTGTGGAATAGTGCAACCTTTTCCACTTGTGTTAATTATTTTATTTAAACGATTTGAAAAATGAATGGCAGAGACTAGATATGTGTCTGTAAGTCTAAATAACCTTGCAACTAAGACATTACTTTAAGGATACTTGTTCCATTGCTGCACTTTTGTTTTTCGTATATAAAGTAACCTACCCTTACTTTCGTTTTGGATATAACCGTAGCACAGATGAGACAGAACACTTCCATTGCCCAGGTAGCTTAGTTGATTAGAGTGACAGTATAACGACTTGAAGTCCAGGGTTCGAATCCCGGTCTACTCCAGCCGGTTTTTCCCCAGTTAAACCACTTTTGATGAGTGTTGTTTGGTATGTAAACTATCTCTATTATTATTCCTATAAGTCCCGCAAGATATAGCTTTATTTCAGTAACTATTTATCAAAGCGGTAGTCATGTGAGACAAAATCGGTCTCCAGTACATATCTACTGTTAATCAGTAGAACAGGGATTCTCATAGCGCCTACACTTACGTTTAAGTAATGTGGGGGGGGGGGGGGGATTTTAAGATATTTAATTAATATATAAGACATATTCCTATGAGTATGAAATTATCATTTTCGAAATAGACAATTACGTCTACATTTTTGGGTACTTAAATGTTTCAATTCCATTAGATTTTAAGGGTGTATGCGTGTTAGTTATAGCTCTAAGATTTAGGTAGCTGGAGAGAAATCGAAGCTTATCGAAACTTTTCATGTGCAATATTGGAATAAAATATCTTTATTTCCCTTGTACATTTGAAGTCACTGATGAGGCGACATTTATCAAAATAGCGATCATAAATATATTAAGAGAGCGTGTTTATACTATTTAGATGTACTATACCAGACGTAAAGACATATTCTTGGTATAATCTCCATGGTCATATATGCAATTTCGAATTTCCGTTCTTTGTTCCTACTTGTATATTGTGACGGCCTGCTAAAATTGTTGTATATAGAAATTGATGACGGTCTAGTGTAGACTACGGGTATCCCACGTTCCTGTTGACTGGCTAGTAAGTTTGTCTATATATAGATTACCTTACCTGACATACATTTTACAAGCAAGCGAGGTGTTCGCTCGAGCGGTAACTTCATTAATATGGGACACTGAATGGGAAAAAAATTCGACTGGTTGAAATGAAATGTGATTTTGGAGGAATATATATCCATCGTCCATCGGTATCAAACATTTTTGTTCATCAACTAGAAAAATGGTTTTTGATACTAGGAACCTAGGTGAGGTCGATTTTTCGACATCGATGCCTTCCCTGTGTTTTCGCATATCATGATTTCGGTAGCATTTTTACGATATACCACCTCACTAAGTCAAACACTGAAGTCTTATGGAAATCCCTACTATAACAAAAAATGTCTATACCAACCAACTTACTGATCAGAATATTGTCATAATTTGGCTACATATACCGTAGTCTGAGCTCTCTATACTGACCATCATACTGGTTCTAACATCATGAATACATCACATTTTTTGTTATCCTGTAACCTCTCTATATCGACCACCTACTGATCCGAACATTGTCTAATCTGAAAACCATTTACTATAGTGTAAACTTTCTATATCAACCACATTACGTATCAAAACTGGACAATATGACAATCGTTTTTAGTGTAACTTCTATATACTGACTGATTCTACTTTTCTTATTTTCCGAATATTGTCATTATATTATAAACATTTACTTAAGCAATAACAGGTAAACTGATTGATCTAAACAGGGTGATAATTTGGCTACCATTTAATATATTATAATGTGTTTACAAACCATAAAAAAGAAACAGCCAGAACGCCAGATCTAGATCTAATAATAACCAACACTTGATATCCTTTCATTTTTAGCTCACCTGGTCCGAAGGGCCGAATGTCATACCATCCGTCCGTCGTCCGTCGGTCCACCTTTCCTTTAAACGCTACTTGTCCTGAAGTATATTTTGACTAAATTTGTTCTGGAGCATCCTTAGGCAAAGGAGACTCAATTTGTATAAACGGTGGGTGTAGCCCCCTTAGTGGCAGTGGGGCGGGCCGAATAGGGGAAATATAGTTAAAACCTCTAAAATCCTTCCTCTACCATAGGGATTTTATCCTAAATTAGTCTAGAGCATCCTTGGGCCAAGGGGACACACTTTTGTATAAACGGTGGCTGTGGCCCCCCTGGATGCAGAGGGGTGCGGCCAAACTATGGAAATAGAAGTAAAACCTTTAAAATCGTAAGAAAACGTAAAATTTCTTATGAGAAAATCGCCCAGTCCCTGACAATTAGCTGACGTGATAGTCATCCATAATCTAAAAGTTTAATGTATTGGAATGAGTAGAGTCTATGTAGAAGTAAAACAAAGATCCAATCACCATCCAATGGAAAAAAAGCAAAAATAAGAGATATACATAAAATACGTTTCATGTTAGTCAAAGTACAGACTACTGCTGACAGTCTATAGCTATATGTTGTCACATATACTAACCACGTCAAAATCTAGAAAATAATTTTTACGTTATGGATCTATATATTGCCAAAGTAGAAAATCTGTTCGCGCATCGATTAGAAATGTATTCCCTACAGTTACAGTACTAGTGATAATATAACCTTGAGACGAGAAAAGAAATCTGGACAAGTCGCTGATGTTTAACGTACAGTATATTATAGTACTACTCCAGGTTCAGTACCGTTCTATATTTCACTATTTACCTTTATATATATATATATATATCTGGTTGTTGCATATGTACACCGTGCGTGTCAATTTACGACGAATGTTACAAGCTGAAGCTGTAATTACAAACAGGAAGTTCACAAGAAAAACGGGAAGTAGAATACTGTATATTAAAAACGACTAAGTGACGGATTGTTCGGATTCCATATTATATTATGTCTTTTTTAAATATGGATATTCCTGTGAACACAATAATTATCCATTTAACCGATTAATATAACAAACCACAAGACAATCTATAAATTGTTGCAGTAAATACATAGCATAAGACTATAATATAAGTTATAACAATTAATTTACCGATATATGTATGAAATGAAGCATGAAACCAACTCGCTTGCCTGTACATATACTGGACATACATCCCTACGAAAAACGAAAACTCACTCATATTGAAGAAATGCTAAACACATATTAGTATAAATTAATACAGGTCCGACACAAACACAGAGATCGGTACACCAAAGACTCTATGGAGCCCCTGGCGGCCGTATTGTCCTAGTCAAGTACCGATTGTGGAATTCTCACGATGCATTCTAAAGTTACGGTCGTCCAATAGGTATGCATCCTCAGAGGGAGTGTCATTCTTTGAGTCTTCTTTTTTTCCTGTTTTTCAGAATTACGAAAAGTTTTTCTTTTACGCTGTATGAATTTTTCACAGTGTCTAGTCCGTAATCACTCTTCAGCCTTTGTTGTTTAATTTTTGTCATGGCTTCAAACACTGTAAATCCTGTTCCTTTTAGATTTTTCCTAACTTGTATTATTTCATGCTTTTTCCGCCTGTGTGTTAATTTCATGATTACATTCCTAGGTTTCACACTATTGAATCGTGTATTGAACCTGCAGAGAGTATTGATAAACACGTCAGTATGCCCATCTCATATGCAATGTTCCCAATCGTGAATAATGTGTTGTGCTGTACAGATGTCGTTTGATTCAAAACAAAAGAGAAATCGGGATGCGTACATCTCCGTATATTAGAAAGTTGAAGGTATGAGTTATTTTCATTTCTAAAAAGGTTTAAAAATAAAATCCTTTAATCTATATCCGTTCTTCATTGTCGCCATCACATTCAATATGGCGCCGTTGACCATGTCAATCTGCTCCTCAGTGAAGAGGTCAGTGATCCTCAGGTCGTATTTTTGGTTCCTATGATGCTGTCCCTCTCTATTCATATAAGTACATGTGTATTCCATTTCGGATGTTGTGACATTAAGGAACTTACTAATCTGTCGCAGAGTAGGAACAAGGCTTTCTTTTAAATCCACATATCGGACGAGCAAGGAACGGTTTACAAACGTCTTCAACCAAACTTTGTACACGGACTGCCAGTGAAAACACTCCCCCTTGACGTATGATTTCCATTCTAAAAAATAGAATATAACAAAAAAAATTTATATAACGTCATCATAACAGCAATGTCATATGAAGATATGAATATAAGCTACACAGGTGATTACACTTGAAGTGATTTCATAACCCTATAATGAATTACACTGCTTCCTTCTTATACTCATCGATTACAAATTAGGCATCGTGCCATAAGAACTCTTTGACCTGATTTACACTATAATTAATCTATCTCGGTCTTTCCTCCTTTAATTTTCCTGTTGCCAATCACATTGAAAGAGATTTGACTGATTATTTATCTGACAATATTTCCTTATCTTCCCTTGGAATTTGCTACAAGATAAATCGAGTGTTCTTGGCAATAAAACTTCACTGCTACTGATTTGTATGGCAAAGAATAAAATGGCGTAGCAAAATCGATGTCATCTGAGAAATTGGCCATGCGTGGAAACAGGTCAACACAAATGAATGAAAATATTATAAGATCATCATCACGAACATAGCTATCAGTATGTGAAATTTTCTTTATTGGCGCTATAATTAAGCCCATGTTGGAAAACAAACCTGAGTGTTCTGTATTTAAAAAAAAGAAGACAACTAGTCAATTTTAAATTTAATAAGAGTAAACTATGTATAATATGAACTGTGCCACAACTCGGAGGATATTACTGAGGCTTGAGGCTAAATAGGTTAATGCCAATCGCGGGGAATCCACCACCTAACTCTACCATCATGTGGGATGAAAAAATAACAGTAGACACACACAGGTAAATTACTTTTAACAAGTACTAACTAATTGTAATGGGGGACCATTACAGATGTCCCCCAAACTGCCCCCATAGTCGCAAAGATGCATCAGAAAAGGTTCGCAAAGCCTTAAAACAACTACAATATACATACTAAGTTGTATTGAAATCAAATAATTTCTCAATTGCGAGCAATCAGAAGCCATACTAAATTTGATCAAAATTGGACAATATTTAAATTTCGACCAACAGAGGCCAGGAAATGGGGACCGAGTGATAAAATTTCATCAAAATTGGACAATATTTAAATTTCGACTAATCAGAGGCCAGGAAATGGGGACCGAGTGATCAAATTTGATCAAAATTGGACAATATTTAAATTTCGACCAATCAGAGGACAAGAAATGGGGGCCGAGTGATCGTTGTCCCATGAATCACCTACATACTAAATTTGATCGAAATCGGAAAATGTTTAAATTACGACCAATCAGGGGTCAGGAAATGGCAGACAGTTTGTTTAATCAAAAAACATATACAACTGCGGTGTTTGTCTGTTTAATCACAAAACAAACACCTCAGTTGTATCGTAGTGCCATAGTACACCTATGCGCAAAATTTCATCCCAATCGGACAGTATTTAAATTTTGACCAATCAGAGGAAAAAAACGGCAACAATTTCGTTGAAATGTGAAATCTAAGCTACGGAAGTGATCATTGTCCTATGATACACCTACTAAATTTGATCAAAATTGGACAATATTGAAATTTCGACCAATCAGAGGCCAGGAAATGGCGGCTTTTTTGTTTAATCGCAAAACATATACAACTGCGGTGTTTGTCTGTTTAATCACAAAACAAACACCTCAGTTGTATCGTAGTGCCATACTACACCTATGCGCAAAATTTCATCCAAATCGGACAGTATTTAAATTTTGACCAATCAGAGGAAAAAAACGGCGGCCATTTTGTTGAAATGTGGAAGGTGATCATTGTCCTATGATACACCTACATACTAAATTTGATCAAAATTGGACAATAAATTTAAATTTCGACCAATCAGAGGCCAGGAATTGGCGGCTATTTTGTTTAATCGCAAAACATATACAACTGCGGTGTTTGTCTGTTTAATCACAAAACAAACACCTCAGTTGTATCGTAGTGCCATACTAAAACTATGCGGCAAGTTTCATCCAAATCGGACTGTATTTAAATTTTAACCAATCAGAGGAAAAAACGGCGGCCATTTGGTGAAATGTGAAAAGTGATCATTGTCCTATGATACACCTACATACTAAATTTGATCAAAATTGGACAATATTTAAATTTCGACTAATCAGAGGCCAGGAAATGGGAACCGAGTGATCAAATTTGATCAAAATTGGACAATATTTAAATTTCGACCAATCAGAGGACAAGAAATGGGGGCCGAGTGATCGTTGTCCCATGATTCACCTACATACTAAATTTGATCGAAATCGGAAAATGTTTAAATTTCGACCAATCAGGGGTCAGGAAATGGCACACATTTTGTTTAATCAAAAAACATAAACAACTGCGGTGTTTGTTTGTTTAATCACAAAACATATACAACTGCCATGTTTGTTTGTTTAATCACAAAACAAACACTGCAGTTGTATTCGTAGTCCCATACTACACCTATGCGCAAAATTTCATCCAAATCGGACAGTATTTAAATTCTGACCAGTCAGAGGAAAAAAACGGCAGCCATTTCGTTGAAATGTGAAATCTAGGCTACGGAAGTGATCATTGTCCTATGATACACCTACATACTAAATTTGATCAAAATTGGACAATATTTAAATTTCGACCAATCAGAGGACGGAAATGGGGGCCATTTTGTTGAAATGTGAAACCTAACTTACTGAAGTGATCATTGTCCCATGATTCACTTACATGTACATACAAAAATTGATCGAAATCCGAATTCCTGAAACACAGCTGTAACGTCATAGATGAGATAGACTGGTCGTCGTCCAACCGTGGGGTAATTTTGTGAGTTTTCAATGTAAGTCCTGGATTTTGAATATTAAGCTTCGGGTCGTTGCTTTGTGAGGTTTCTTTGAACATCTTTATCCAATATTTATCAGATTTAAGTCCCTGTAGTTGCTGTAAATTAACACTTTGCAAAATAGTGTACCGTGCTTTTTACTCACTATGACCGATACTGACCAGAGTGGACAGGTGAGCAGTGTGTGTCCTATCCATGTGATTTCTGAGGAGCAAGCCTTGGTAGCAACCACTCCTGTATCAAATAAACGGACATTTGACCAAACATCACCGGATTTGAATATAGATATAGCCGCTAAAAAACTTCTCCAATCCAAATCCCCTGTCGGCGACTCAGTATCCCCTCCGGCCCAGAGCTCTACCAACGTGTTGACACGTCCATAGAGGAACCTGTACAACGCCTCAGTGATTGTAAGAGAACCAGTAAATGATACCATATTAAACTGTATTAAGCCAATGCTTATGGAGAAAGTGTCGGAAATCGTGTTAAAGGACGAGAAACTTTAAAACATCACAAGTGATGCTATGAGTTCTGCTGTTATCCAGCCCCTCAGGATAAAATCAAAGAACAGCCAGTATATATCGATTTTCTTTCATCTAAGATTGCCATCTGGAGAGTAGGGCAGATGAGCACGCCTCTATCCTCGAGCAGCCGGAACAGTATTCCCGCCGCGCATGTTAAAGATTTTTAAATGACCTTTTCCACGTGACCATACCGCCCAGTCTTTTGACCCCCTACCCCACATTCTTGACATTTGTAACAAAACGTTGAAAGTTAAGGTCCAGCCTTCTGCCATATCTCGTTGTTACATCCTTGGGGGAAGGGGAGGGTGCGGGACAGTCGAGCAAACCTAATTTTGCGCTTCGTCCGTTCTAATGACAGACAATCAGTTTACGATGCCTAAAAACTGATGAGAGGCTCTGGCATTATAATAGTTGAAGCCTTGACAAAGGTGAGGCAAGCCAGTGTAAATCGCCTAAATCAGCTCACACAAGCCGGAAAAATAGACTCGTTCTGGACCAGGGACGTTCAATCTTTGTCAAAAAGTCTCGTGATGATCAGAAGATCTTTATCTCGAACGATTATGCTGTTACCCAGCGGCAGGATGAGTAATTAGACTTTTTTAAAGTGATTCTTTGCATGAACTTTATTGTCGTCAAATTGTATTTCCGTTCATTATAATACATGTGTGCTTAAATTAATTAACAATGTACGTTCACATATCCATGTAAATTACAAATGTTATGATATGTGTGGTTAGCGACACAATCCCCCCAACTCCCCTCAGCCCAACCCCCAGCAATCAGCGGTTAAAATTGTACATACATGCTACAGATATTATACTAGGCATGGCTTGTTTAACCCTAAACCCGCCCCAACAAACGCAGGTTCAAGTGTCCATGTACACTTCATACATGTCATATTATGTATGTATGGTATACACTTTGTACTACCCCCACTTCCATCCCTCCCATCCCCCCACTCCCAGCAAATGCATATAAATACGGATGTAAACCACATGTTATACTATGTCTGAATTGCTACCCCCACAGCAACCACAGGTTAGAGTATCCACGTAAGCTTTATATATTTTTACTTGGAATGGTTTGTTACGCCCCCCCCCCCCCCCCCCCCCCCCCCCATCAATGCATGTACAGTATCCATGCATATCGCGCATGTCCAAGTTTCCATGTACACCACACGTTACATGTGAGAGGCAAACGCCAAATATCCATGTACAATTCATTTTATACTGCTGGTTATATAATATATATTCTATCGTGTATTTGGTTTGATACTCTCCCCGAACCATTCTCCAAATTTCGCGCCCTGATATACAACCTATCCACACCACCCCCGATATTTCATCATGTGTAGTTAGCGACAACATCACTTGTACCTGATAAAATGTACTATGTAAAGTGTAATTTATTTCATTAGCTATATAATGAATGGTTTGCTTTTCCTCCATAGTAATCTTTGGCTTATAAAACTTTAGTTATGTTTAACTGTTGTTGGTTTTTTATTAATATTATTATTATTGAAAAATATTGCATTGGATTGTACCGTTTAATTGTCATACTATGTGACCCATCCCCGCCAACTCATTCGTACTGTTTTGTTTGCAGGTTACAGTAAAATTATACTTGTCTCGCACATTATTTTAAAATAGACGAGCCAGGGGTATTGCATGGGTTGTTGGATGTTTCTCGCTACTTCCTATGCAGTACTCCTAAACTC